AATGGGAAGAGCCGGGATCTTTAAAACAAGGAACGAGGAAAGCCGGAATCGTTAAAACAAGGATAGAGAAAAGCCGGAATCTTACGGCTGGAAGTTTGTAACTAAATTAGTTACTCAATTTCCGCGCGAAATACAAAATATGGCAATTTGGCATGGCTATATTTCCGTATTTTACCAATTAAAGTTGTCAAAGATCTTTTCCGTCAGTTCACTCAATTGCTTTCAAAGAAGATGCTCGAAAATTTTGTCAACGGTTATCAGTATGGTAACCGGTGCTCTAATTGGTTTTGGAAAGGCGATCGCCCTTTTTGTGCACTGAAATCCATTCATCCCGTTTCCAGTCAAACGGTCACACTCCATGTCGGATTACTTTATTGTATAATGCATTAAGCTTGCCTCCTCCGCAGGCATCTCTTATGTATTTATATTAGGCATTTATAATTGTAATTGTAATTGTAATTAAAAAGATCCTTAGTTAGCTAGTGCTAGTTTACACAAGGTCTTATCTATAGTAATATAATAAATACAAATAATAAATTATATTATCTATATAAAAACAATTTTAACATTCTACTAAATTATTATAATATAAAATTAAATGAACCAACTAATCTGCTCAAGGAGAGAGGACTTAAATTTTTTTGTAGAACCAATATCCTTAATCCTCTTGTTCAAACTGTTCCAAATCTCAATGGCTCTATATATAAATGTTCTAGCTAAGAATGTTTTCTTCTTACAAACGGGTTTCTCAAGCAACATATTATCTACTTTACACCTTGATGAGAATCTTGTAGAGTAGTCATGTAAAATATGAAAATAATGTAACTGATTGTAAATAGATAAAGGTTGGCCACTATACAGTGATTTGTGTAGAATAGTTGCAGTTCTAAGATAAATCCTTTGCCTCACAGTTAACCAATTCAATTTTTGATGTAGTTCCTTCCTGGTTATTTCATCAATTTTACAGCCAATTATCAATCTGGCCACTTTATTCTGGAGGACTTGTAGTGCGTTTAGAGAACTCTGATTTAATACTGAACCCCAAACTGTACAACAATAATTAAGTTTTGACAGTACAAGTGCTTCAGCAATCAACTTTAAAGTATTTCTTGGTATGTATTTGGAAAATCTGTATAATAGACCAAGTGCCTTGGAGCAGTCTTTTAGGACTGACTCACACTGAGGTTTCCAACTCAAGGATTCGTCTAGCGTCACTCCCAAAAGTTTAACGTTCTTTACTTGATTAATGCTATTATTTTTTATTGATAAATTCAATGACTGTGCTGCCTTAACCTTTTGACGGCTTCCGATCAAGATACTCTTGGTCTTACCAGCATTTAACACCAAATGATTTTTCTGGGCCCATTTCTCAACATTCAACAAATCCCTTTGAAGGTTATGAGATAATAGACTAACGTTTTCTGCTGCTTCATATGGAGTACTGTCATCAGCATATAGGGTAATGTTCGCTGAGGTTAGCGCAGACGGTAAATCATTAATAAATATGCTAAACAAGAGCGGCCCGAGACAACTACCTTGAGGCACCCCACAAACCATACTTGTTGGCCTTGAAAACTCACCATTTATAAAAACCATCGAGCTTCTGGCTGTTAGATATGACTTTATCCATCTGATAGCACTAGCTGAGAAATTATAACACTCTAATTTCGACAGTAATAGATCATGATCGACAAGATCAAAAGCAGCACTGAAATCCAGTAACGCTACTCCGGTGATACATCCATTCTCCATATTTTTCAAGCAATTGTCAGTTAATTGAATAAGTGCTGTTTCCGTGCTATGACTCTCTCTATAAGCATGTTGATCTACTACCATTATATTGTTTACTGAGAGAAACTCACTCATTTGTCGAAAAGCCATTTTCTCCTGTAATTTACTCAAAGAATTTAATAAACTGATTGGACGACTATTCACATCATTAAATAACTTCTTATTATCTTTAGGAATAGGACACAGTTTAGCAACTTTCCATTCATCTGGGAACACCGATGTAGCAAATGAGCAGTTAAAAATATGTCTGATAGGTTGTGCAATTACATCAGCTGCTAATTTGAGCAAACAATTATCAATATTATCAACACCAGTTGATTTACAATTTGGAAGGTTAGTTAGATGAGTTTTGACATCCGATAAACTCAGCGAATGAAATTCGAAAGATGAGTGAAAGTTTTTACCAGCCATTACTTTATTAATCGACTCTTTAGCATACTCAGTGTCAATTGGATCTATCATATCCTGTCGAAACTTCAACACCTTGTCTTCGAAGAATGTAGCCAAGTGGTTTGCTATGTCCTTTGATTTAATAAGAATCTCCCCTTTGTTTTCCATTTTTGCAAGGGTGGTATGATGGTTTGTCCCTAATAAATTACTAATGGTATTCCACATGGACTTCGGGTCTCTTTTACTCGTATTAATTGCGTTCAAAAAGTATTCTTTTTTTCTCTCTCTATTAATTTTAACAACATGATTTCTCAATTTCCTGTACACTGCCCAGTCCGAAAGGAATCCTGATTTTTTTGCTTCCTTTTTAGCCGCATCTCTTTGGTTCATTAAATCATGAATTTCGTCAGTTAGCCATGGTGCTGGTTTCGCTTTGATCGTGAATTTCTTAAGAGGGGCATGAATATTAGCAATATCTGTAAACAGATTATTAAATGTATTTAACGCCTCATTAGGATCGTCAGTCAACTCAACCAACCAAAAAGGGACTGAATTTAAATCTTTAATGAATTGCTCTTCAGAAAACCTTTTGTAGTTACGCTTATACACCACTTTAGCTGGGCCATTGGGAATTTTACTCTTTGTGGATAATTCAGTGAGATCGTGATCACTAAAGCCTACATTAATAACTTTACATTTAAACGTTCCTTCATCTGTTCTGTTTGAGAAGATCAAATCCAAACATGTTGATGTTTTGCTATTAGATGTACAAACCGTTCTAGTAGGCATTTCCACAGTCTGGTTGAGACAACATATTTCAGAATAATACCGCAACGCAGCCGAATCGTTTTCATCAAACCAGTTTTTATTAAAATCCCCCAATATATATGTTGCTTTATTCTCATCGGTTGCTACTTCCCACGAATGAAATACTTTCGACCTATAAGCGTTGTTAGACTTTGGTGGACAGCAAAAAATACCAACTAGAATTGCAGGGGCACGATTTCTAACAATTTCGACCCAGAGAGCTTCAATGTCCAAAGAGGCAAGATCGTCCCTTACTTTACACAAAAATGTATCTTTATAATACAGACCAACCCCACCGCCATTAGCATTTCTGTGTTTACTTAAAAACTGATATCCTTCGATTAGCAATGATCCATTTAAAACTGCGTCGTCTAGCTTTGTTTCTGTGACGCCTAAAAAGTGTATACCAGTGTTCAACAACATATCTTCGATTTATAATTGGCTTTGGTTAGCTTTGTCGGGGAGCGAGAAAAAAAATTGCTGATCTCTCCCACTTTTTCCTCGCCTTCCCCGACACAGCTAACCCAAGCGAAATATAAATGCCTAATATTAATACATAAGATATGCTTGCGGAGGAGGCTAGCATTAAGCATAGTAGAGACTTCTTCTGCTATCTTTCGTTAAGCAATAGGAGGTATAATATCGGGTCCTGTAGCCTTGTTGGGATTTAGCTCTTGGTTTGAATAGCCAACAACATTCCATCATAATCAAATTAATTTTAATGTAATAAATATATCTAGTTATGTTAGTTATTAAGTTAATAAAAGGATACTGTACGAGTGACTGCTAATCAGTTAAGCGTCAGGAGAAGTACGAGATAGAACGAACGGTTGATTTACAAATAGTTGTGTTAGACAAAGTCCTACGGGGATCCACCCTTCAGGTACTGAACTTTATCTGTTTGCATGTATGTTTGTAGTGTGATTAGTGTTTATGTTAATGTTTAAGTTTAGTTTGATTCATCGTATGAACTAAGAAAATGATTGGAATGCATGTATCTTTATACCTTTTACTTATATATAGTTAAACTTAATCTTTTCTATAGAATATATTTTCAATAAATATTAAAGAAATTCCCGTTCGACTTGCGTTTAAAGTAGCAGTGCCAAACAGCTCACGTAATGAACCCAAAACGTCAGAACATGTAATCTCTCTAAAGCTGAATAAATTATCGTACCATTTATCTTGAATTTTACTACGCTACTAGTTGTGTGTAGGGTATTGAGCGTTGCATTTCAATACATGAAATCGGTGCTGTTATCAGAAAAATCCATAACTTATCTACTCGTTCACATATATCAAAAGAAGATGGCAGCAGTAATTGAAAATGTAAACATGTCTTAATATGTACCTCCCCAATAGCGACATCTCTCTGATATGAACATATCAAGTCAAGTCCGGAATTGCAAAGTTAACCCATCCCCTGCTAATGATGTGATTTATTGCAAGTGCGTGAAGAGATAAACAATTGTGATATCAACAGCCCGTGTAACTCAGGTAATTTACTAGTCAAGGCCCTGTAAAGGAGTTTGTGTGCATTTCATGCAAAACAGGTTATCTCAATTGTTTTCTGGTAAAATGACCATGGCGGTCATAACCGCCATAGCTCTAAATCCTGAATTATCAAAGCTATAGTCTTTCTGAATTGCTTATATGGTTCAGAATGGTTGCTTTTAGGGGTGGTCACTGGAGGGTGAAATTATCATCAGTTTTATATTTTACAAGCAAAGTATGTTTACCATTCCAGGTCAACTGCAAATTAGGCATAAAATTACTGATTCACCCGGAAAAGTCTAATTTTTTCTATTTTCTAAAAATGTTCGCCATATGATGAAAAAAATGCTTTTAATAGATTTATTATAAATTTCCAAAGAAATAACGATGTTTTGTTGCGATACGACATATTTCATTTCACTTAACCCCCACTAAAACACAATTTCAGCCATATTTTGCAAATTTAATCGCTGTTTTTCGTCGTCCGTCGCAAGCGCCTTCTAAACATGGTACTCTAACACGACTCTAGTTGACTAAAGAATTCTTTTCGCCATTGATTTCATCAATTATGTCGCCATTGCAATGGCATAATCCTCAACAACTCCACCAAGTCCACCTTCGTCAATCAAGCTATTTTCAATATTGTAGTAAATCACATCTGTAAGTCAAAAGCAATTGCTTGTCAATACAAAACAACTTTATACTGAAATATGTAAAGTAGAATGGATATTAGAATAAAAACAAATTAAAAAAAAATGTTCGTGATATTTGTAGCAATACAATCGACTTGCAAACTTCAACAAATGTTTTAATTCCCATCGACAACTCTGGTGACGGGTTGCAAATTTTAAGGTTGGGAAGGTTTGACTTGGCTTTCTTTGATAATTTTCCACTTGGTGAGTTTTTCTCTCCAAATGTTGCACTTTCTCTTCATGTCATAGATGTTTCAAATATAAAGTGATTTTTTTATAGAGATGAATGAAAGAGTGCAATGGAATAATGGTTTTCAGTCGAGGCCTAAAGAGAAGTCTTTCAGCTCTTTTTGTAAATAGTATAGCTAGTAATTTTCAATAAGTGACCGTAAGTAAGAACGGGTTCAAACGGCTCACTCCTTTCACTTACTTGCGAATGCCACTACAGAGAGAAAGATACATAAATATATGCGAGTGAATAATACTGATTTTACTGAAAATGAAAAAATGAGGAATGATCTAGCAACGGCTTCAGCCAGTGCTTCTTCTCTCAGCAGTAAAAAACTCCATAATTCGAAACTCGCTAAAGTGCAAAATTAATGTTTCGAAGTTTTCTGAGCGTCATTTAGTAATACCAGCAAAGTGGTGTTCAAGGTTTTGAAGTATACGATACTTCATCAAATTTAGATTAAAATTTAAATTACAATTAATGTATCCTACCTTTCATTTGTGCTATCGGAAACTGCAGTAGAACGAGATTGAAGCTATAAACACAAATTGAAAATACCAGTTACGGATTTTTGTTAAGCGTTGAAAAGTATTCTACAAACATCGTGCTTATAAAATGTCTCAATATTTTGAACCATGTTTCATGGTATTTGTTTTCAAGAAATAATAGATGGACAGAAGAAACAAAAATGAGGCTCACATCAAATCTCATAGTTGGAGAAAGAATAAAATTAGACCTCTAGATGTCACCCAACCAGGTTGATCTTTTTTGTTATTTTCGGAATAATTTTATTCATAAAAATTTTATCATGTTCGCTCTCTGTTGTCATTTCCTACCATCTGTTGAGACCTCTGTGCCACTAGGCAAGCTACAGCGAAAGAGCACTGGCTTCCACTGTGATATCTTATCTGTGAAGTCTTATCAGTGCCCGTTTCGTTGAAGAAACGATGAGCCAAGATTCAACTTCGCGTCATAAAATCTTTGAAACATCAGCCCGACTTTCTTCATATTTCAACTGAAGGCATTTCCGTGAAGTACTTTAGATAAAAAAGTCATTTATATCCGGATTGGGTTCCTCCTCCAGGGCAAGAGTCGTGCATTGACCACGTGATAACGAAACATTCTGAGCTCATCAGTGAAGGATGAACAATTGTAAAGGTTTTATTGCAACTCATAAGAATTACCAAAGGATATATTTTGTAAATCTATTATATTACGAGCGTCTTTCCTTAAGTCTAGCGACCTACATTGTTCCGGTACCGCATGAGAAACTCTAGCTCGAATCCTCTTGATCTGACGTATTCTTTGTAACCAATTACAGCCTAGGTATCTGTAGTTTTCTTCTGATTTTGGTGAAGAACTGACGCAATCTTAAAAAGAAAAACATTCGTATACCGTCAATATCACATCCGGACACTTAAATTACCCTAAGTTACTGACCAAATTTATTTAACATGCATTGCAATATGACGAACCAACTTCGACAGGTTTTTATCGGAAATAACTCTAGGGCCATAATTTGTATTGTTTAGAATATCCTGAGTTCATCTTTAACGTTCAAACACACGATATTACTGTCGTTATCAATGGAAATGTCAAATACGTTCCTAAGAGCTTTCACTAGAAGAATATTAAAACTTGGTCGCTCTTGCAAATATATTTTGTTGTTTAAGCATGAATACGCTGGGCAGACAGTGTATGCCAATTTAAACAATGATACTGAAAGAATTTTCCTTACCTGACTAATTGAGGCCTCGTTTTTGTTTCTCTTAAGCTCAACTTTTAAAACCTCAGGCTCCGTGCCCTTCTGAAGTGAATCATCTCACACAAACACTTTTCCTGCCGAACAATATGCGCATGACATGTTCGAATTTGCCTGCTTGTTGACTGTAACCGTGATCAACACATTGCCAAGCAACCAACTTCTTGACGCTCCATTGCGCAGGAGTCGTTCAACAACTGCAGCTCTATAAAAACAACAAAATAGTCATCTTCCCTGAAACACAGTGCAGAAAAATACGAAACCAACATACAGACTTTTTGGTTGGGTCAAATAAGAAGAAAATGTATATTTGACCATCATATCACCACGATTTCCATCATCTCTGAACTAAGTGTGTTGCTTGAGTCTTCCTTTGATTTCTCAAGAGAGTTTGGGAGTGAATGGAATTTGGTGGGGGGATTAGTGACTAAGGGTATTGGTTTGCAGCATCTGAAGATATATCTGCGTTGTTAAGACTCTAAAGGAATACAAGGACAAATGATTGAAAACGAGCTTGCATATAAGCAAAATTATGTAACATGAAATGGACAAGTTTATGTAACAACACTGCCTAAGCTGTATAAAGTTTAAACACCACTTCTTAATATCTATTGAAATTTAGCAAGCAATATCCGTGGCCATAGAATGACATGTGGACTTACTTTTGTAATCAATGGCACGAATTGTTTTCTTAACAACAGTGGACAGTTGACAAACCAGGATGAAATGACATTATCAGCAAGAGTTACCGTGTATTGAGAGTATCTAAGGTGAAACATATCAGTTCGTTTATATTTTATTCAATTTCACAAAGCCAATAATAAAAAGTTTGAGATGTTATCGCGTTAAACAAACCTCGATGATGCTGTGTGAGGCAACATATTCCAATGACTTGTTTCAAATGGATCGCTGTGAAGTTTTTGTACTAATCACGAAGCTTTGACAATGCTATTTAAACGTTTTAAAAGAATGTTAGCAACTTTTCGTCGAATACGATTGAGTGTTTATACAACCTAGCTCTCCTTAGGGGTACATTGATATATCATAAAAGATTTCTTAATTTACGTAACTTCAAGAAACATACCAGAGAGAAATTCTAACAGTGGTATGACAACTTGAGCGTTGGCGAAAGTTTAGTAAACTTTTCCAGATATGTTGGGAGCAGCCTAAGGACAGAAAATTTAGAAATTATTACCCAAATAATCTTGTGAAGGAGTATCTCGCATAACAAGAGAACGTTACATTTAGGCTGGAGTTTATTGAAAAACATTTCTGTAAATTCACTGAGCACATTATCAAGGCACGATTTCAAATATCTCCAAAGTAATAAACTTCTAAAACGCTGCAATTACTTAAATCAACTTCATTCTTTACAAAGTGCTAATGGACATAAAAAACGTCTCAAATTCCAGACAATCTTAAGTAGCCATACCTTGCCATAACTGAAGACATTTCTAACATACATATGGTGAGACAAGATACGCTTAACGTCGTGGAATGAGCAACCAAACCAATCTCCAAAGTACGCATCAGACAAAACTAGACGAAATATACAACAACGTTTAAGCGAGAACAGACAACCGCTGAAAATAAAGTGAAGCAGGTTCTTACCTGTTCATCTTGCCCAATAAAAATGTGGTACGTACACAGCTCTGTTAATACCTGCACATGTTACAATAAAATATCCAATTAAATCATTAGTATAGTATGATATAATTATGGTATAAATTGGTTATGCTATGGTATGGTGTGATATAATTATGGTATGATATGGTTATCGTATGGTATGATTTGGTCATGGTATGGTATGGTGTGATATAATTTTGGGATTATATGGTTATCGTATGGTATGATATGGTTATCGTATGGTATGATTTGGTTATGGTTAGTTATGGTATGATATGATTATATGATATGATTATATGATATGATTATATGATATGATGTGGTATGGTTATGGTTATGGTATGGTATGGTTTTGGTATAGTTATGGTAAGATATTATGATAGATGCAAAAAACTGAATGATAAGAACCGTACTGGAAAAATTCTAGCGTACAAATGAGGTCGGCGCATATCATGAGGAACACGAAATAATCCAGGAAGAAAATCATAATTTCAAACCTGAATGCAAAGTAAAATTTTTAGTTCATGATTTTAGTGTGAAAAGTGCACAACTTTACATCCCTTACCATTTTAGATAACACTGTACATATTGAACGTAAGTAGTGCTTTCGAGAATGTATCAAGTTTTTATCTTGCAGTGCCTCCGGAAAGTTTCTCAGAACAACATCCAACACCTCCCATTCCAATTTCTAGAAAATGAAGAAAGTTGAACTTCAATCGAAACTTAATGCCAGATGATATATTATGATAGAAAAGTTTACCTGTTGTAAGCACACAGGAATAACATTCATCGCCTCGCTGTAAGGCAGTGAAACAATCCCGGTTGTCTTATCTTCTGCAGAACTAAAACAAAAATGAGAATGTATTACACTAACAAGAAAAGGAATTTTGGAAGCAGAATACCTGACATGCCTTGCACTATCATCATTAACCAACGTTTTCCTTTCAGAACAATTAACATACGAAGTGAATTTGACTTTTCCACTTTTGTCTTGCACAAGGCCTTGACGTTGTCAGCTCGCAGACTGAGAAAACATTGAAGAATCTTTACAAAAAAACAATGTAAGACATCATAGAAAAATCGCAAGAAATAACATTGAATTTGGCTTACCACAAGTCGTATCTCCGATGCAATAGACGTCCGATAGCCATTGTCATAATGAGTTTTTATGTGGTACACTAATATATTGAATATTCGTTCTGCAATTACATAATAGGAAAGGGAGAATAAAAAAAAAATTTTATATAACATCAGTGTAAAATGAATGATGGAACTGTACAGCAAAATATGGTGTAGGCATAACACGTGGCCCTGCGAAGTAGTTGGCACTAAGAACCATGCTGTCATGCCTGCCATCACCAGATATCATCAGATAATCTTGGTTTTTTAATGTTGAAAATAATCCGTTTTGATACTTTTTCCTATGAAGATATATCACAGGGAATATTTTTTTCCTACAATTATTATATACAAGTACTATAATATCTAATTCCCGTCTGGTCCCTATTAGGCTATTACTCCTGACAATATTGTCGCACAGAAGAAAAACATTAAATATCTCAGCAAGTATTTGGGCTAAAGACCCCGGAATACCAGTAAACGATAGCGGTTAAAACGATTCTTTGAATAGTATATTCCAACCAGCATATAGTTATAACCTGCATTTGTATTATACGTGAAAATAAGAATTAAAATAATAGCTTGCTTTGTTATCTGAAATTACTCACCCATTGCAAGATATATTTTGGAAATTCCATATTTTTTCGCTTTTTTGGTCTCTGTTGTCTTCAAAATGTCTAGAATTTGACATGTTATCATTCTGTTTTAATTCTGAGTAATTCTTGGTGTAGTATGTGCAAAATAATCAAAGAAAGAGCATTTTATAAGTTCTAAGCGATAATCATTGCTAATCACGTGCTTAAGGCAAGCTCGAATCGGACCTAGGTCAGATTTTCGGCTTTTGGCCCGAAATTTTTATTATTGTGAAATATTATTGCCGGTGATGCGATAATTCATATCATCAGGTATGTTTATATAAAAATGGGCAAAAATCTTCTAAAGGCTTGATTTTGACGCTAAAGATATCAAAATAATCCTGAATATGTGAGCTAAACCACTGCAACCGGTTTTCGTTTGCATTTGGGCAATATCCAAAGAATTAGGCCGCTTTGATGTGTAATATTGAATATATACAACACGTGAATATCGTAGCTGTGAATAGCTATGTATGCATGGCGGTAAAACGCCGTATTTCCACTGGAATTTGCAATATTTAGCCTTGAAATTTACTACATTTGCGAATTTGTCAGTTTGCTATATTTACTATTATTCCATGCCATGCCCAATTCTACAATATTCTGAAAGGTTCAGTAGTTAAATGTACCACAGAATTCAAGTGCTACAACAGTTTGAAAGATTTACTTGCCTTTTAAATTCCGACTTTCCTGTTCGATGGGGTTCTAAAGCTGGTAGGGGAATAAAGCCTTTTAATAATGATTGAACTGTAATTTCTTGTGAACTTCATGAGAGAAATAATCGAACAAATACACTCATACTGTGATACATTGGCTTGGAATATGCTCCAAAACGTGTGAAATCGAACATTTGTTGTGCAATCACCTTGCAAATATCAAAGAAACGGTATCAAATTTTGAATATAGATTAACCAATCTGATTGGTTTTTATTGAACCAATCGTGGAGTACAAAAATTGACCAATGACAAATTGACCTGTGTACAGAAATAACCAATCAAGTTGTCTTAATTTTGCTGAATTATGCAAGAGCCTACAGGCTATAAAACAGAGCCGTCTGCGACCGTTTTTCTCAGGTAAGTGAGTTCTTTCTTTAGGTAGGATCAAGGTATGTATAAT